AAGTAAGTAAGTAATTAAGTGAGTAAGTAAACTTTATTTACACAAGGTAGCCCATTCAACTCCAAGGCTGGTCTCCATAGGGGTCATGTATCTTAAAGAATTAAATTTATTGAGAATTTTTATTCAAAGAGCCTAACAAATTAAAATACAACAATGAAATTTTTATTGAGAATAAACATTCAAAGAACCTAACAAATTAAAATACAACAATACAATCTAGGAACTGTATTAAGAGCCTAAAAACTACAGTGCAAAATCACTTTGAGGCCTAAAATATAATAAAACATCAAATTCATGCCCAAATTTCTGTTTAACCCAGGGAAGCAACATGTGATTTATCTTTTTCACATATTATAGACTGCAGCAAAACTGTGGTAATGGTGATGTAATCTAAGCATGTGTCCTCCGATAGATCATAATTACGTAAGAACCAATCAAATGCACGTAAATGAAAATGGAACATACACCCGTTGTAGAACCACTGAGGCCCAAGAGTATTGAGCTGCTGATGGCTTCAAATAGTTTTTCCATTTTCTAACACCAGTTCTTCAATGTACTATACTATCTACACCTTTTAGTTGCTATCGTATTTTTTAAATTTAAGGCTGCTAATAGGGAGAATCTGCCGTTTAGAAACAATCTTAACTTTAACTTTATATAAACTAAATAAACTATAAACTTTATATAGCTAAACCATAAAAGAAAAGAAAAGATCTATCTGTATGCAAAATTTAGAGCGAAACGACAGGGAGTTTGGAGCCACCAACATTTTGATAGTTTAAGAAGTGAACCTATCGAGTCATTTAGAAGTCATTGTTATTAAAGGAAAAAAGTTATTCGGACCTATCTTAATCAATAAAGTGTCCAATGTATCAATTGAATGTAATTCTAGCCTCATCTCTCCAAAAACAGTGATAGATTGCAAGTTCTGATACTGTGTAATTCTAAATTAGTGGTAATGGCCAACACACACCATTGGGGCCAAAACATAATAGCTAACGGAGGATTCTAATGTTTTCTTTTTTTTTTTTTTTTTACATTAAAATCTATGCGTTTAAAAACTTAAGCTTACTCGAAAAAAAAAAATCAGCACAAAGATACTGATCAAGTGAGAGGACAGTACAAGGCCTCTGCTTTCCAAAAAGTTACTGCATCATTATAAAGAAAACAGTAACATACTATATATTTAATATCATTACATCACGTAGACCCATACTTGCCTGTATACCCATAGAAAACCGTAAACACTTCCCGTTCTGTGAAACAGCACCATACCATGGCCAGGTGGTAAAGGCCATTGGTTTGGAGGAAAGAAAGAAAACTTTAATTACTCGAAAAGTTTGTAAGCCACTCGGGTCTGCCTCGTGGTTTACAAACTTTTCTCGTGTTCCCTTAACATTCCAAGTGATTTATCAGCCGGTAAATTGAGAGAAACGTGGTTTATCGGTTAAATAATCGAAAATTGTCGGGGTTTTCTTTTAATTTAACTATCATTTTAATTTAACTATCATTTCCATCCAATGTGCCAGTTTAATCGGGCAGGGCGGACTAAGTGGAAAAGTAACGTGACAATTTTTGAACCACCACCCAATCTCACACTTCCCCGCACAGTTATGATTTGGGTCTTCATCGTTATCTTGATCAATTGTGGTAAATTGTTGACCATCAGATTCCAGCAGGCTCCAATATTTTTCTAAACAAGTAGAAAGGAAAAAGAATGATACGAGGTCAATACATCGCTGAGTTTGTGAAAGAGTAGGAAACCATCGAGTAGAATTAACTGAGAAGATGACAAATCTATGCCATTTACAGGGTGAAAGATTAGTGTAGGAAAAAGAAAACTGCGCTTGAGGTCTTTTGTTTGTTATAGCCGAAGGTCGCAGGCCAGGCGCCGTACTCAAGGCAAAAAGCACAGTTATTTCCCATATGGACAGAACTAGGGCGGCAAATGACTCATTTTTACCTCGTTGTACGGGAATCCTACAAACGAGTTTTTAAAGGGAATCCAACGTGGAATTTAATAATAAAAATAATAATAATAATAATAATAATAATAATAATAATAATAATAATAATAATAATAATAATAAAAGAAGTTTAATTCCACCATTGTGGTTTGAAATGTACAACTATACAAATTACAAATGAATAAAGACTGATAGTTTCTAAGGAAACTGTTTGGGGCTGCTTCGGTGGGGGTAACGAAATAATTTGGATATATCAACAAAGTTGAAATGGTAAATAGGCCGCCGTAACGATTACAAAAGCTGACGTTTCGAGCGTTAGCCCTTCGTCGGAGCGAAAAGAGGAATTGTGGGTTGTGTGTGCTTTTAAAGGCAGAAAATTGGGCTACATTATTTGTGGGAACATGGCAACGAGAAAAACACCAATGAATTAGTGGAATGAAAAGCGTCCGTTGATCCCTGTGGGATCTAGACTGCCGGTTTGAAAGATGAGCTTTTGTTCAAGATTTTTACGYCTTTTCGTGCTACATAAGTGTAAGGAAAGACCACAGATTGCCATATGTTGCTTAGAATGATTAGGTAAATGAAACTGTCTAGCGACTGGTTTCGATGTGTCCTTGTCATTCCTTTCCACGTCGCGAAGGTGTTCTCGGAAACGGTCACCTACTCTTCTGCTTGTCTTACCGATGTATATCTTTTAGCAATAAGTGCAAGTTATGCAATAGATTACATTGGCGGATGTGCACGTGAAGTGATTGGTGATCTTAATGGATCGTTTGGGTCCAAACGATCCATTAAGATCACATTCTGCTAATCAATAGGGCAGGATCCAAACGATCCATTAAGATTACATACTGCTAATCAATGAGGCACTGAGTTACAATATATATTATATATTGATATTATAAATGAATTTATACTTATACAAGCTAAAATACATGTGTGGGTATATAGTCTTAAAATATATTCGTTGATGAAAGCTAAACTAATACTTCGCAAAGAACTTCGGCGCAATCTTTCAGTACTGCATTCAGTTAATGCCTATTTGTTAGCGCATCTCGTTTGATAGTGGTGCATGCGCTGTCTCGCCATTGGGAGATGTTTAATGAGAGGTCCTCGTCTTCAGATCTTTTGAAGAGTTTTAAAACAGAGTTCACTACGTCTCTCCTCAATATTCTTAAGTTTAGGAATTGAAGGGCTTCTGAGTAGGAATACGTAATGCTATGATTTTGAGGGCACGTTTCTGTATACGTTCTAACTCTCGAGAAAGGTAGGAGGGTAGAGCGTCGTCCCATACTACAGATCAATATTCAAGTGAAGATCATATCAGGGCGATATAGATATTAATTAAATCATTAATCTCAACGCTCCCTCAACGAAGTACTGGGAGTATATGAGGTCGCTTAGAAGCCTTGATGACAATAGATTCGATGTGATTGTTCCATTTCAAATTATTCTAGATCACCGGCCCAAGTACTCTATGTGAGGTTACATGCTCTGACTGTTGATCATCGATCTTCAAATGAGGGAGATCTATGGGTTCCTCTCGGAAACAAATCCGCATTTGTCATTCACTTTCACTTACCCACATGTAAAAGCTGTCATTATTAGTCGAAGTGATCTTGCAGTTTATACGCAGCATCTTTCCCTTAACTACCATCTTTGGAATGGACAAAAAACTATCGAGCTCAGGTAAAAACCCAACACTGTAAATCTCTTCGATGTCTTTTTTTTTTTTTTTTTTTTCTTTTTTTTGTGATCTGGGTTAGGAAACAAGAATCGTGAGAAAAGTTAAAGCTTATGTCTGATTGATAAAACTCAATTATCTGTCATACGTAAGCATCGGCGGCTGGATCGATGAGTAACACCCCCGCGAACGAAAACAATATTGTGATTTTCTGAGATGAAAGAAAAAAAATCCTTGAATTAACTGCCTCCTACAGTATCTTTAATTTTTATCATCAAAAACACTCGCAATGATATTGATAGAGAGTGGTATTAGATGCAAGCGGGAGAAAACCCTGTTAAACGACCAAGGCTTTACACTGCAATAATATTGGTTATATGACTCAAAATTCCATCGAGACGTTGTCTAGTTCTGTATAGTTAGGCACAGTCCTTAGGAACTAGGATAAATGAACTGAAATAAAATCTCGCGAAGAAAATTCAAAGTTTTAAGTAAGCAAGAAGCCTTTAAAATTACCGAGAGTTGCTGGGGAACGTTTCTTCGTCTTGCGTTCAAGACTCAGGCACCGAGCCGAGGAACTTTCTATTCGACTTTTCTCCAAAATTATGTATAGCAAGGCGTCTGCGAACTCGCAGTTCGTTTTCATGTCAAACCCTAAAGCTGTTTTTAGCCCAGTCTATTTTTCTAAAGTCGATTTAGCAAGCATTTTAATACGGTTTCATTTATCGCGAGCGTCGATTGAAAACGCCAAAGAGGAAGCAAACAGATGATAAACGTAATGAAACAAAATTTATCTCAGACGTCGACGGGTGTGTTAAAAAAAAAGAAAAACAAAAACGCAATTGCAGCGAGCTCAAAACCCGAGGGATCTCACAACTGCTCTTGTAATCCTGAGTTTAGAGGAGAGACAAGTGTACAGGTAAAAGAAGTTCTTTAGAGCGCGAAATTTTACAATATCACAGAACGCGTAAATCTACAAACCCGTCTGTGATGGACTTGGCAGTTCTCTGATATTGCAACACCGAAGAAAAGATGACGAGCTCTATTTTCCAATTTTTTTTTTCATTATCATCGTTTCTTTTTATTATTATTATTTTCTTTTTTGACATCCTCAATGAAAAGAGGCGTTTGCAAATCCTATTGGATAAAGATCGCAACGATTAAGTAGAATAACATTACATACACGATGGGCTTTCCTTTTTTCTGTTTTACAGAAAATATTCAGAATTGCCACTTCGCACGTGATGAATTCTCAGGTATTTATTGCTTTGACATGGGCTATATTATTTAATGCCTATGCGTCAATCAAAACCAATCACGATTTACAGACACAAACAGCTCATCATTACCTGCCTCACTCAATTCCAACGTGTACTTTGTCTCCTTACCACGTACTTTAAAGGAATGAAATGAATTGGATGCAGTGAAGTGATGGGACTCATGGGACCAATGCTGGTAAATGTAAAGTTGGTGTTGGCTTCTATTTGTCAAGCGGTGTATTTTGTCCAGCCCGAGCCAAAAATTTTCAGATAGATTTCCAAAGCCATTTTTATAGGCATTCCAATCTTTGTTGAAGTTGTAGGAGCCGCGAAGTTTTCTTTGGAATACTATCCATCCCCCTCCGTCCATCGTTTGGTCACAAAAAACATCAAAGGCACCTGCACCGTCAGGATCAATTTGAAAAATTCCATCGAGACGTTGTCCAGCTCTGTATAGTTCGGCACAATCCTTAGGAACTAGGAAAAATTAACTGAAATAAAATTTCGCGAAGAAAATTCAAACTCCTTCAATGTGTCTTGGTTCCGGATTTCTACTCTCTATTTTCGATCTGAACAAAGAGTTTAATAATTACTTTCTTTAATCATCAACAATATTTCGGTTCTTTTTTTATCTTTTTTTTTAAATATTTCTGAAAAAGTTTCATTTGCTATCCCTGGCCATAAATATTCCTTATTATTCTTTATCTCAACTAAGAAATACTGTCGTCGCCAGATAATCCTCACATGTCACTGTCATTATTGTGGGAAACTCGATCTTTATTTTTGACGTAATCAAAGCAAAGTGCACTCTCTGATTGGTCAACTCAGCGTCCACCATTTGCGTATGGGTGTACACTGCTGACGTGAGCAAATGCAAAGGCTACTTTTCCACGCGCGCTTCTTTTATGGCCGCGTAAGATTTGTTTAATAAAAGAAAGCTCTTTTGCTACAATGTAACAATTTTATATTATAGAACAAATGGTGAACACCAGAGTGTACACTATTGAGTCATGGATGCACCTGGGAGGTTTGCTGAAGAAGCTAGAGTCGCTCTCGGCTATCACCTCGCACGACGATTAGGCTTCTTTCGTGCTTAGCAACCTCCCGCGTGTATTCATAACTCAATAGTGTACACTGTGGTAATAGTGTGGTAATAACAATAGTGTACGCTTATGGATGCACTTGGGAGGTTTACTCAAGAAGCTAGAGTCGCTCTCGGCCATCGCCTCGCGAGACTGTTAGGCTTCTTTCGTGCTTAGCAATCTCCTATGGTGTTTACCATTTCTTAATTGTCAAATATCATTTGTATTGAGTATTGAGAGTTTCAGATATTCTGAGCACCCTCGTCCATGTCCAACCGACGTAACCCATGCAATGATTGAAATACAGAATTAAAAGGGGAAAGGGGGGGTAGAAGGATGAATTTAAAGAGCTATTCATTTATCCATATATTTATTTATTTCTGATAGGTGTTTAGTTTAAAGATCTATTTATCAAATAAGGTCGTCCTCTCCAGGATTCTACCTCGGCAGTGGTTTCCATCCCCAATGTATCCAGGATTACAAGAACAGTTGAACGATCCCTTGGTATTTGTACAGGTGGCATTGCCCCTGCTACAATTGTGGATATTCTCAGAACACTCGTCGATGTCTGAAACGATATCAAACGACAGTCAAAAGAAATGACGTGGCAGGGGGGAAAGGTTTCAGTATAAGTGCACTATACACAAATAATGCAAAGAGTAACGCCAGTTAATCCAAATATGTGTAACCAAAGCGATAATAGACAAAATCATTAGAAGGAGTCGCCAACGCATAGTTTTACCCAGGATAATAAAAAAATATAAAGAAAAACAATAGACAAATAAACAAAAAAACGACAACAATAGAGCTCGTCTTTTTTTAATTTGATACCACAATGTAGTTTCAACATTAAGTTTACTGTCTTTATGCGGGAAGATTAGTAGTTTCACTTACCCCTTGATATTGCAAAACATGACGCTCGAAATTATTTTCATTATCCGTGCAGTTGTATCCTTCACCTCTGAGTCCAGGATTACAAAAGCAGCTAAAAAATCCCTTGCTATTTTCACAAGTAGCGTTGTCCTCGCTACAACTGAGGATATTTTCTGCGCCCTCGTGGATGTCTCATAGGACATCAACAGACCAGACTCATAATCGTATTATTTCTAACGCGGCTGTGGCGTTGGCTGGATAGAGGAGGGGCTTAAAGGGTTTGGATGAGGAATGGGGGAGGGAGATATTATATTGTTTCAAGGCAAATTTTAATTTGATCTTAGTCAATCTAGTTTGATGGTAAAAGTAAATGCAGAATCTGATATTTGAGCGCAATTCGGAGGAATACCTCGCGTTAAAAGAGTTTTGCCGTTAAGTCCAAAATGTACGTTGCAGCTCTCGAAAAAAGATCTTAGAGATCTAACTGATGTACGCGCTATTATAGCAATATATCATGTTCTAAATCACATATATATTTTCACCTATGCAGTTCCGTCCATCTTCGTGGAATCCAGATTTGCAAATGCACTTGAATGATCCCTTGATATTCTGGCAAGTGGAGTTTCCATGAGTGCAGTTGTGGACATTTTTAGCGCATTCGTCAACGTCTGAAATTAAACCAACAATGGCATCCATGATCGTGATAGAGTGCAACGATAGGGAAGTGAGGGCAATGCGACTTTAACTTTGACAGTATGGTAAAAAAGAGCTGTCCTAAAAATTTCATCGTGTCCTCAAAGCCAAAGGCTTTTGGTAAATGAAAATCTGGGAATTCGCCTCGCGTGGCGCCATTTGACAGGTCAGCACATTGTTTAATTTTTCTATGGGTATACAGGCAAATAAACAATAGATTTTTGACCAATCAGAACAATCGTTGTGTCTAAGCTATATCTTAAAATAGTATCCCCTTCCGAATAATATCAGCTTTCCATTTATGATGCCTTTGTTTCAGCCACTTCTATAGTTTTTCCGCGCTGGTACGACAAAGCATCATGTTCTGAATACTGTTCAGTACCTGTGCAGTTGTATCTGTCACCAATGAATCCTGGTCTACAAATGCACTCGAATGATCCCCTGGTATTATTACAAGTGGTAGTTATATTGCCGCAGTTGTGGCTGTTTTGAGAATACTCGTCAATGTCTGAAATTTAATCAGCAGTCCATATCAATTATGCTGATAAAGAAGAACAATGAAAAGCGACTGAAAGCTGCATGGGTTTCCAACCTAAAAACCACCGGAGTCTCTCGACTTCGTATCGGTCTATAAAAACGCAAAAATTGATCCAGCCGATCCCGGCCGATCCAGTATGCTAGACGCGTGTCATATATGAACTTCGCTCACCATAGAGTCTCTGCGGCTTATTGGTCTGAGGTCCGATTCCTCAAGAGGACTCACAATTCTTTTCTTTGTCCCACGCTCGAGCCGAGACGAAAAACATATTTTTTATATCTCTTTACTGAGGGGAAACCCTTTTAATTCTAATTTATTCTTGTTTTTCTTGTTACCATGTTACCCACGAAATTTTATCTGATCAATAAGATCATGCTCTCCAGTATTATACCTTTGCATTCATGTCCATCCCATCTGAATCCAGGATTATTACAAGAGCAGTTGTAAGATCCCTCGGTATTTGTGCAATTGGAATTCTCGCTACAGTTGTGGGAGTTTAGACTACACTCGTCGATGTCTGAAATAAAATCAATGGATCACACCCATGATCTTTGTTGTCTCTGGGAAGGATGGGAGGGGAGCGAGGAGCTAATGTACAATACGAAACAAACTCTACCCCCTGCTAATCCAGTTGTGTAGGTGAAAAAGTTTATATATTGCATGTGATAATCGGAGTGCATAATGATCAGGATAATAGGACATGTGTTTCTTCTAAAGGGTTAATTAGGAAGTAGCATCCTGCTCGAACACAAAGTTCATTACCTGTGCAATTATGTATATCCCCGATGAATCCACGTTTACAAATGCACAAGAACGATCCATTCGTATTTTGGCAAGTGACGTTTTCATTGCTGCAGTTGTGGGTATCTATAGCACACTCGTCGATGTCTAAAATAAAGTCAATAGACCTTTGGTCAAAATACTGAATGACAGATGTCGCAGGAAGGAGGGGGGAAATACGATGGGAAATACTATTCGTCAGCAGTGGTGCGTGAGGTTAGAACAAAAAATGGGGGGCTGTGGAGATAATAAGCTCGTTAATTGTGTCCATCTCTGTAACATCCAAGATCACAGGACCAAATGGACCATCTCATGGTGTTATTGCAAATGGCATTTTCATTGCTACACTTTTGGGAACTTTGAGCGCACTCTTTAATGTTTACAACTGAATCAAAAAAACTGTATCATGATCGTAATAACGAGTAACACGGGTTGAAGAAGGGAAAGTGAATAAAAATCGTACTGATTTTACAAGTAGCCAATTACGAGTAATAACAATATAATTTCACTGAAAAATTAACGTTCGTCCAATCAACAACGGGAACGAACTGAGAATGGAGGAAGAGGTGAGTCGGAGAAGGAAGGCTGTAACACATAATGCTAAAAATACAGTATCGCAAGCTCGTCTTTTATTGAGGGCATTATAAAAGTAAAATAACAGTAAGTATTCTAGGGCCCGTCTCCGTTTCAGGGCTCTTGTTATACCATTCAGTAAAGAGTAACAGGTCATTAAAGTTAACCCGCCTTTGTAAATTTCGCCTTCTGATATATTAAACAATGATGCTGCAACTGATTGAAGTGTATCTTTAAGCCGTTTTGATTTACACCATTCCAAAATTCCATAACAGAGAAGTCGACTGCTGCTAAAGAGCCATTAGGAAGCAGATAAAGGTAACAAGGAACTTAATTTGTTCAATAAAAAAGCTTTGAATCCAGGATTTACAAGCACAGTTGTACAACCCGCACAAAGAAATTGGCAAACTACCATGGATTTTAGGGCATCAGGAGTACGATCCTTAACACTGAACATGTACTCAAATGCTCTAAAATCCATGGTAGTTTACCAATTTTCTTGTGCGGGTTGTAAATCCCGTTATATTGGCGAAACTAGTCGCCACTTCTCTACTAGGATAAAGGAGCACACGGAAAGCGATAAGAACTCTCATATCTTTAAGCATTTCAACACATCTCCTTCTTATAAGAACAAATACTCCCTTTCTCGCTTTAGTAGTCTGGATTCTGCTAACAACTCAATTGATTTATAACTCAAAGAAGGTTTTTATATAAATAAGACCAAACCTGAACTTAACAAACTATTACAGCATTATAACACTTCTCTAGCGCTTTAGTTCACACCTTTGATGTTTGCTGTCACCATAGTTAGTAGAGGGGACTGGTTAGGACGCGCGGCAAACTTCAAAGGGCCGGCCTATTGTCTGTCCCCTGAGCTTCGCTGGAACGTCACGTGACCAATGACCCTGCACAGAACCAAAACAATATGAAGGACATGAACGACTTAATTTTCTTCGGCGACGATTTTGATGCCATATTAGAAACTTTGGAAAACGAGGAAGAATACAAGAGCCCTTTGTCGAAGCAGCTGACTCTGTAAGTCTTTTAGAAGCCTTTAAAACGTTATTTTCGCCCAAAAACTTTGTAGTTATTGATGCCTTTAGCAACGGCATCGGTCGTAGTACAACAACATATTTTTTTACTGAAAGTCTTTCGATTTTTAGGTTCAATACGAAGAGGGAATTGTTTGCTAGTTGTGCCAAAAGAAATGCAAGACTAAGGCTGGATTAAAAAGACATAAGACAATAAAGCATAAGGAGGAACAAGCGCGGGGAAATCAACCGACTCAAGAAGCCAAATTCACTGCTGAAGACTTCGAAGCGTTATCAATCAAAGCACGAGATTAA